TGTTTGCTTTGGAAAATTATAGAGAAAATAACTTCAGTGACCGAAAATGTCTTATAATATACGATTTTAACCAACTTTTTTTTGGATTTGCGAAAATAATCAACAAATTCGCAACGCGAACTCTAGTTTCGCAACACATTTTTCAAAATCGCAACGTGATTCTCTAAAATTGCAACGCGAATTGCGTAACGCTAATTATCGATATAGGTAAACACAACTATTCGCAATTCAATTTTCAAATTCGTAACGCGAATTTTGTTTTCGTAACTCGAATTTCGCAACGCTAATTACTGATATAGGTAAACATAACTATTTGCATTCAAATTCATAACGCGATTTTCCAAATTCGTAACGCGATTCTCAAAATTCGCAACGCGAATTTCGATTTCACAATTTGAATTTCGCAACACTAATTACCGATATATGTAAACATAACTCAGTTTTCAAATTGTCGAATTCGGATTTTTATCGTATTTTTTCTATTAAGTTTACCTATATCGGTAATTTAGTTGTGAAATTGGCGAATTCGAGTTGCGAATAGTTGTGTTTACCTATATCAGTAATTAGCGTTGCGAAAACGAAATTCGCGTTGCGATTTTGGAGAATCGCATTGCAAATTTAAAAACTGAGTTGCGTGTTTACCTATATCAGTAATTAGCGTTGTGAAAACGAAATTCGCGTTGCGATTTTGAAAACTGAGTTGCGTGTTTACTTATATCGGTAATTTGCATTGCGAATTTGAAAACCGCGTTACGAATTTGAAAACTGTGTTGCGAAATTGGTGTTCGCGTTGCGAATTTGTTGATTATTTTCATAAATTCAAAAAAAATTGGTTAAAATCGTATATTATAAGACATTTTCGATCACTGAAGTTATTATCTCAAAATTATATACATGTAGGTTTTGCCATGACAAAGTCAGTGACCATTCAATGGATAGGTAATATTCTCCCATTCTTGTTTTCTTAGTTTTGGACAAACTTCTATAAGCTTAATTTTTGTTTTATTTAAGAGAAAATAACCTCAGTGACCAAAAATCTTAGATAATATACGATTTTGACCAATTTTTTTTGGATTTGCGAAAATGACCAACAAAATCGCAATGCGATCTCTAATTCGCATTGCGATCTCCACTATCGCAAATTCACGTTGCATTTCGCATTGCGATAGTTGAAAATCGCGTTGCGTTTTTCCATTTCGCGTTGCGATAGTTGGAGATCGCGTTGCGATTTTCCATTTCGCATTGCGATAGTTGAAATCGCAACGCGATCTCCATTTCGCATTGCGATAGTTGAAATCGCAACGCGATCTCCATCATCGCAAATTCGCGTTGCATTTCGCGTTGCGATAGTTGAAAATCGCGTTGTGGTTTTCCATTTCACGTTGCGATAGTTGAAAATCGCGTTGCGATTTTCCATTTCGCGTTGCGATAGTTGAAAATCGCGTTGCGATTATCCATTTCGTGGTCGTGGTCGTGGTCGTGGTAATACGTGTCTTCGACACGTCCGCGCGGATACTATCTTTTTAGAGAAAATTCTTAAGAAACAAAATCTTTTTTTTTAACTATCACAACGAATTTGGAAAATCGCAACGACAACTGTAGACTATCGCAACGAATTCGCAACGACAACTGTAGACTATCGCAACGCGAAATGGAAAATCGCAACGCGAAATGGAAAATCGCAACGCGACTGTAGACTATCGCAACGCGAAATGGAAAATCGCAACGCGAAATGGAAAATCGCAACGCGATTTTCCATTATCGCAACGCGAAATGCAACGCGAATTTGCGATAGTGGAGATCGCAATGCGAATTAGAGATCGCATTACGATTTTGTTGGTCATTTTCGCAAATCCAAAAAAAGTTGGTTAAAATCGTATATTATCTGGGATTTTTGGTCACTGAGGTTATTTTCTCTTTATTTAATTGTAGGAAGACTACAACTGAAATGATGTGCATGAGCTGCCTGAAAATCCAGCCTGTTGGACCAGTTTGCATGACACCTTCGTGTGGCCAACTCTCAATGGCGAAGTACTATTGTAGCATTTGCAAAAAAAAATTTATGGTGAAAGGTGCAACCAATCTCTTTAGAATTCTTTCTTTCTGACTTTGTTAATACTAGATGTAAAGAATTCAATATTATTGTGAAGATTACTATAAATGTTGAGTAATTTTGAAATTTGTTAATGAGTCTGTTGTCTCTTGATCATCTGGAGCTCTGAAGAAACCTTCCAAAAAATATGGAGAACGCTTGTACTTGATTTGCTCTTTTTCTGCTTGTTAATTCGGTAGAATTTCTAAGTTTGTCTTGGTCCCATTTCTTTTAGAAGGAGCTATTTTTAGAAAATGAGTTCTTGTGAGAACTCTGTGAACTGGTTCTTATTTCAGTCTGGAAACTTCTGATAGTTTTGTACAAAGCTGTTGCTGTTCTTTAAAAAAAATTATCTTGTATGTCTCCATTTATTTCAGGACTGTCTATCATTGCCCATTCTGCATTTTATGCCGTGTCGGAAAGGAACTTGGTGATGATTTCTTTCATTGTATGGTGTGCAATTGCTGTCTGTCCAAGAAGTTGGTGGACCACAAGTGTCGAGAAAAAGGTCTAGAAATTAACTGTCCTGTCTGCTGTGATTTTTTGTTCACGTCTAGTGAAAGCGTTAGAGCACTTCCATGTGGTCATTTCATGCATTCAGCATGTTTTCAGGTCTGTTCAGAGTTCCTCTACCTTTTTGTTCTCATTCGACACATTAACCTCATCTTTGATGTAGTGAGAATAATATTGTAGAGTGCTTAATAACAAATTCTGCGCATACTTTCTTTTGTCAGGCATATGCATGCAGTCCCTATATCTGCCCAATTTGCAGCAAATCAATGGGAGATATGGCGGTATGAAAGTTAGTTTTAAGTTATGACTGCATATAAAATTGTTTTAGGGGTCAGGCGGGTTGATTTTTTGTTTCAGGTTCAGGCATTTTAATTTGCTTGCATAACTTATATGACTATTATCAAAGTAATTGTACCCGTCACCTTTCTTCCTTAAAGTTCACCTTAAATATCATATAAACCTTAACTGTTTAGTGTGACAATTTTATTCAGTTTGTATAAATTGTCAGCATGCCAATTGGAATACGCATTTTGCTGTTGCAACTTCCAATTGACAAGTTACTGCTAGTGGAAGAATGAACATCTAGATTGATGTGAGGTATTTTTTAAAAATAATTGTCAAGTTTGAGGAAAAATATGTGATGTTTGAAACTAGAGGGATGGAAATGATATTTGAGGCAACCTTTAGGACAATGAATGGAATTTTCTCATTATCATTGCAATTGAAGCGCATTGAGACGAGGGATTTCGAGGAGGAATTTAATTTTTAGAAAGGGTTTCATATTCTTTTGTCTTTTGTATATGTTTATATTTCCTCACTCTAACTAGAAAAATCAGTTTAAGATATATAGTTTAACTACGTTATGTTATTATTAACACCTACAGTTTTTCATGAATTATACTCGAATCCTCCAGATTTTTAACTCTCTTTTCAGGTTTACTTTGGAATGCTGGATGCGCTTTTGCCTACTGAGCAGCTCCCTGAAGAATACAGGAGTCGCTGTCAGGTAGACCATGCATGACATTTTAAGCTCATACAATACCAGAGCAATCAAGGTTGAGTAATCAATATTGGCATGTATGTAAATACCTCAAAAAGCGCCCACTTACGTACAAGGCTTGTAAAAAATTAAAATTATTGCAGTAATCTAAATCCCATTTTTCCACATTTTCATCCCTATAGATGGAAGAAATTAAGCCTCGTTTTTTCTTTTCTTTCAATGATTTTAATTGTTGTTGAAAGGCAGAGCAAGTTTTACGCATGTATTCAGACATTTTTACCGTCTATTATGCATGTTGTTTCACATTGCTGCCTTGCACGGGCATAGGGTTTTTGGCTGAAAATGGAAAGAAGGTTGTGGTTTTCATACTTGCACATTGCAATCCCCAAATTCCTTTCCATAATCTGCTATCATATGCCCAATGGTAAGAATTTTTGTTCTTTACTATCTGCACTTGCTGAGAAATATTTGTTCCTTAATATATTTGGAGAACAACACATCATAAATACTTTGAAGAAAAATAAAATTACTGACATAAAATTATACTAATTCACTTGGTACTTGTGGTTATTGATGGACCAGATAGTATGCTATTTGACAATTAAAATAATGCTCTATTGGATTGAGAAATTTACCTGGTAGAGTTGCAGCTACTCACATATGCAAACACCTCTCACCCCTTTTTGTTTACTGCAGTTTTCACAATCCTCGGAATTGCAAAGGAGTCCGGCAGGCAATGCTTTCCGCTCTGGTTATTATGAAAACCGGAGACCGGGATTGTAAGGTTGGTGGTGACCGGTGAAGTCTCAGATGAGATGAGCATGGTGGATCTGCCAGTGGCGTCTCTGTATAGGCTTCCTTTGGCAGGAACAAGAGTATTAGTTGATTGACGGTCCAATTGAAATGATCCCATCTTCTGACTAGTTTCTTTATGACTCCGTCGCTTTCTTTTCAATACTTTTTAAACTGGTTTTCCTCTGTTCTTTTACATAAAATCAAATATTTAAGGCATTTAATAGCAGTTGATGAAGTCTATAGTTAAAGTGACAATGGTTATTATATGAAATCAAATGTTTGAACTGAGTTGTCTTAGCCTCTAAAAGATTCGGATTCGAACATTTACATTTGTAGGTGTAAGCAAATTCCGAGCTAAACAAAATAGTCTATTATATTATTTTCTAAAAAACTATAAATATTTTATAATTAAATTTAAATAAAAATATGATAATTTTATTATCAACACTTTGATTCGAATCAAACCTGTGTGTTATTCTTGAGATATTTTTTAATCTTAAAGAAAATCAAATCATATAATCTCCTTATAGGTACTATGCATTAGGTATCACACTGAACTAAAGAGGTATGCAGTGACTAATTTTAATAGATATGAATCCTGTCCTTTGTTGCTATGATTCTGCAATGACAGACTAAATTTTTTAACTAAAGTTGTTTAAGAAATACCAACTCGGATTGGTTTCCGATCAAGAACCATATTCTTCATTCACAGACCTAACGAAGGGATCTCTGAAGTTCAGCAACGATTCAATGGGATTCCTCATGGCGAAGGAATTGAACAAATTTTGATCTGAACTCTGGAGGTATACGAGCAGGACGATAGTTTTTGTCGAGCCATACAGCTGTGGCCTTTGCCTCCAGAATAGGCTGTGCATATTTAAGCATCAGATTTCTAAGGAAAACACCAAGTCCTTGACTTGAAACACTAGTTCTAACAAACCTCTTCATTTGGAAGCTTAAAGATGAAATGCTCAAAGTACAGGCGAGCACCAGAGGAGTCGGAGATCCTCACCTTAACAACAAATTTGTCTCCACTCTGGTTTCCAGAAAGTACATGAGAAATAGACAAGAGTAAGATGAAAGAAGAGCTCAGCCCAGAAGGAGAAAAGCTAACCATCCTATCAAAAACAGCAACAGACATACTGAATAGGCAATAACTAACATTACTAATAAATTTTCCGAGTTCAATTCTCAAGTGATGCGAACATAATCTGCATATATGATATACTTAATTCTAATCCAACTTTTGGATAAAACTCATTTACCACTGTCAAAAATGCAGTTCTCACATATCCTAGCACTTCAAACATGTTTCTTAAAAAGTAGGCAAAGTGATTTAGTAACGACAAATATAAAGAAAGTGGCATACCCTTAAAGGTCCAAGAAATTTGAGCGACAACTCTGACAGTGCTAATGAATCACCGGTACGGGCAACTCCATCACAACTGACACCAATACTATTGAGTAGTTCATGACGACCTAATTATTCAAGCAAGATTATCGGTATAATCAACAGAATGTGAACACATAGCAATCAGAACATAATGAACATGCAAGGGCTGAATAAACTGCCAGGGTAAACTGCAACGTAAAACACCAAAACTATCATTCACTTCATCTGTGACAAGCAACAGCATAGTTCCAGCGGCATGAAGTCATTTCCATCATAGTTTGGGACATGAAAGAGAACAAACCTTTCGAAATAAGACCTCTCCCATGGTGATCCTAGACTGAATTCATGGACCTCCACCTTTTGAAATCCTAGCATTTTAAAAGGTTTTTTGGTACAAAAATAAATGGGATTTCAATTACAAAGCACATACTTTGTACTTCAGAAACTAAATCAATGAACTCTCAAGAGGATACTTTAATAAATTAATAATGCAAATGCAGCAATTTCAAACAATGAGACCAAGAGGCTGAAATTTAAAGCATTCAACCAAGCAATAGTCCAAGGTAGAACTACATAGACCAGAAATTACTACAATTCAAGGGTTTATACTCAAATTTTAGCCAAAAAAGAAGGAAAAGTCACATCAATGGTTGAGGGCTAGACGCACCTCTAATCAGTATTATAATAAAATCCATTGATTTTGTTCACTTCCCAAATTGTTAAAATGAACTCAATTTGACAAAAACTTGACTCCTATCAAATCTTAGTAAGAAAAAGAAATTTCCTTTTTAACTTGGATTACTTTAAATCTTCTCGATTTTATTCTAGTTAAGAAAATTAACCAAAAACAAATTAATAATACCGCAAGTAAAGTACCCTTTGCCGCCTTTGAGATCGAAAAAAGCTCGGGCAGCGAAGCTCCTAGCGGTGGAGAGAGAAGGGACACGCGGCGACAACAACGGCGGAGAAATTGGGAAGGATGAAGCCGGTGGGCGAAGATTGAGAAAAGTAGCATTTGGAGGGGAGGCGGCGTGCGCCGGAAAAACCGAAGCCAGGAACAACTGGTTGGATCTTACCGGAAAGTTGCTGGAGAAAATCATGGAGATTGTAAGGTCTTCTCAGAATTGATGGGCGATAGTTTCCATGCACGCTGCTTTAATGTTTAGTATTGAAAACTATTTTTTCCCAAAAAAAAACATAATTTTTGTATTGAATTTAAAAAATATTTTTTAGTATGATGTTTTCTAACTTTATTATTTCTATTTCTATTTCTATTTTATTACATTTATAATAATGTTTTTTTTACCTTTCTCTAGTAAAAGATATGATGAGTATATATACTTTTGGATTTTCGGTGTACGTTTATTTCAATGGTTTCTTCTTGGTGTATAGTTATACGAGATTTTTTTAGTTGTTTGTTTTCTTATGTTTGGTTTTTTTCGTTCATTCGTATATGACATTTTGTTGATTTTTGAATGTTTCGATTCTCTTTTTTATATTTGGTGCTCGAATATGTTAGAGTGTTCCATCTCTATATGTCATTACCTCAACTAATTACATTGTTGCTCATTCGGATGTCACTAATCATTCATCGATATATTTTACTTATGATTGTCCTGAATGTATATCTAACTTTGTTCTAAATGATGTCCTTTATGACTAATGCAATCTACGTACTTTTTGAACATTCTAGTTTCATCCTCAAACTATGATTCTTATTTTAAATTAATCTCTACACTATTAAATCTTCAATTTCATCCTCAAATTCATCTAAACATGTAATCAGTTTCAATTGTAGTTCAAACTAAATTTTATTTTTTTCAAACATATAATTATATAACTTGACTTAACGATGTTATTAACAATGGATATGGTTAGTATATACATATAGTATAAGATGAAATTGAAATATTCAAAAAATTTGAGGATCAATTTAGAATAAAGGTTATAGTTTTGTGAAAAAACTTAATTGTTCGAAAGTTTGAGAACTAATTTAGAATGATACTCATAGTTTAAGGATGAAGTTGGAATATTTAAAAGTTTAGAGAATAATTTAGAATAAAGATCATTTTGAGGATACAATTAACTATATATAGTTCTAGGGTAAATTATTGGTTTGATCATCTTACTTTCATATTTATACATTTTTAAGTTTCGATCATTGATATTTATTAAATTTTGATCACTTACATTATCGATTGTTACATTTTGATCATTGAGTAACTCTTTTATTTATTAATTTGGAGTGAGTACAAGGCAATAATTCCTTTAGCACTGATTCACTTGATTCGTGCCATTGAGTAACTCTTGTTGGTTTGATGTCATGCACATTAGTTAAAAGGGGTTAATTTTTAATTTTACCATAAACTTTAGATAGAATTGTGTTAGACCTTGAACTTTATATGAAATATCATTTTGATCCTAAATTTTAGATAAATATCAATTTAACCCATGAATTCGACCAAAGTCTCTCATCGCCGTTACCACCACTCAGTGGTTGCCCCCCTGAAAACTGAATTTCTTCGGTTAGTTACTTATTTTATTAATGGTGCCCACACTAAGATTTTATTTATGTCCACCACATTAAAAAAATTATTTTTAGACCTTGCACTATCACCACTCATCATTGTCACTATCAATCATCATCAGTCGCATCAACTGTTGTCATTGTCGACTGTTAGACCATAAAATTTATTGTTCACTAATTTTTTACATTTTGAATGCGAATTTGGTGTCCATTTAACCAAAAAAAATTTGAAACTCAACAAATCTAGCCTATAACTATTCGACTTCCTTTAAAATTAAATCATAAATTTATAATTAATATTCTTTTAAAAATAATTACATAAAAACTATTTTTTATATAAAATTAAACCCGTAAAGTTTGTTTATAATATTGTTATTTATACTTTTTATATTTAGAATGTTAATTATAAATTTTTAATATGAGAAAAATCATAAATAAGAATATACAAATTTACATAAAAAACTAAAACGAGAACAATCACGAGCATAAAAGATAAATTTCACTAAGCCGACAAAAAAAAAAGGTGTTTTTACTGAAATATCACTCTTATACCAATTAATTACCTGTCAGACATCTTCTCTCATAATATTACCGATCTAGCACATTTTTTGACAAAGCGCGGATGGATTCTGTCCGAATTGACGTCACGTAAGGAAAGGCGCAGATCGCCATTCATATCTTAGCTGAACCTTTGACATAGACATATGCAGAAGGTGCAAATAATGAAGCATGCCTTCTATAGGTCAACAACATACCTCAAAGCATTTTTAAAAAATATGCTTTAAAAAATTTTAAAAATAAAACTATAGGGATTAACATTATAATTTAATACATATTAGTTACATGCGTTGAAGAGCTTAAAGAAGTTAGTTTATATAGGCATATTAGAGTGTTTATGTTATGTTTCTTGATAATGTGGGATAAAAACTAAAATGTGTTTTCCTTAACTTTTTTTATTTTTATATCTAATGAATCTACTTATACACTATTGTTAAATTATATTAGGTTAATATTTATTATTAATGTTTATATTAATTAAGATTATATATTTTTTATATGTTAATATATTTAAATAATTACATTAGGTTAATATTTATTATTAAGGTTTAAACTAAAATAAAATTTGAAGCTGATATATATCAAAGGGGAAACAATATACTCATGTAAGATCGAATATAAGATTAATTATATTCAGGTGACTTAAATGCCTTAAAATACTGTATGTTATTTTATTTTAAATCTAGATTAAAAGATAATGGGCAATTTTCATATAATTTATTTAATTATATGTTTTTGCTGTAGTAATTTGAGATGAAATAAGCTACAAGATGTTATTCCTTCTAATATTGGCGAGCTTAAGAGTTTAACACATCTGTAAGAAGCACCTAGAAGTATTTTTTTCACTTTATGATAATCAAGATTGTTGTTTTCTACTAAAAAAATTGAGCTTCAACAATTTTAAAGGGAAGATCCCGAAGTAGTTAACAATAGTGTATAAGTAGATTCATTAGATATAGAGATAAAATGTTAAGGAATACACCTTTTAACTTTTATCCCACATTGTCAAGAAACATAACCTAAACAATCTAATATGCCTATATAAACTAACCCCATTAAGCTCTTCAACTCATGAAATTAATATGTATTAAATTATGATGTTAGTTCCTATAGTTTTATTTTTTTAATGTTTTAAAGCATATTTGTTTTAAAATGCTTTGAGAGATGATGTAGACCTATGAAAGGCGTTCTTTATGATCTGCGACTTCCGTATATATCAGAGGTTTAGTGAAGGTGCGGATGATGATCTGCGTCTTTCATTACTTGGCTCCAGCTCGAGCAGAACCCTGCTAAGACATAAATAGTGATATGTGTTTGTTAGAAATAGTGATAGATCGATAATATTAAAAGAAATAGAGTGTATGACAGATAATTAATTGGTCTGAGGATGATATTTTGATAAAAACGCTGACAAAAAATACGAGAGGATTTTGCAAAAGTACATCAAACCCTAAAATTATGATTACATGTACATAATTGTACGAGTTGGGCTATGCCGTAACCACAAAATTTTGAAATTCGAATTAAAATCCTCTGCCCCTTATGTGTGACCCTTTATATACCCCACCAATAATTTAACGCCGCGTGTTAGTGAATTTTAATTAACTTAACAGAAATTTATTGCCATTTTGCATGGATATCTAAGGAAATACAATTTAATATAAGGTTAAAGAAATGTACTATTGAAAATGTTAATTTTGTTTTAATATTTTCGGTGAAATATTATCTAAAATGTTAATTTCGTTACCTAAAATATTATTTCTTTTAACGTTTTCAGTTACAACCGAAAATGTTATAAAAAAATAATATTTTAAATAACGATATTAATATTAATATTTTAAATAACACTTTACTAAAAATATTAAATTATTATTAACTTTTTCAATTACATCTTTCCTTAATTTATATTAGGTTTTCGTACATTACAACTACCTCTTTTATCTTTCTTTGGATAAAAAAAAAAAGAACTATTTTTCTTTCTCCAACCTCCTCCACCCTCTGACTTTAACTTTTACCTTTTATTTCTGCAACTGGACCTTCACCCTCTAACTAATGATTCTATTGGTAAGTTATTACTTATAGCGGCTGTATCGAAATTTTTTATGACGGTCAGACGCAGGGATGGATCGAGTGAGAATGACATTAGTCCTCTATAAATTTAAAATTATTATATATTTTAAATTATTTAATTTTATTTTTTTTTATGTATTTTATATTAAAGATCTGTTTCGCTCCTCCACCCTCAAACTTTTTAGTTAATTCCCTAAAATTTTAGTTTACCCCCTTAAGATTAAATTGGCCTCCAACATAAAATTTTACGTATATCTCTCACAACAATGTGGTGGTTCTCTAGCACCGTGTTGATGATTTTGTTCCCGTCATCCAGGGCAGAGCGACGATGTCTGTCCTTTAGGTTAAAACGACGACACTATTTTGTTGTCCTCTTCAGTTGAATACGAACTCCTCCGTTTTGATAGCATGGTGCTATAAATTTAGAGGTTAGAAATTTAAAATTCATATTGTTTTAACAGTAGACAACAATAGATAGAATAGGTCAAATATATTCCAGTGTGGTGTGGTCAATTGGCTGACCTTGTCTTTGAACAATGAATCCCAATAATTATGCATGCAGAAACTTAAAATTTGAACGATGAATCCCAGTAATAGATGAAATACCCATGGTGAGATAGCATAAACTATGGAGTAAAACTTAACTCCAACAAGAAGCAAAACGCAAATAGCAGGGACTAGAACCATCGTAAACCTCGCCGAAATATATACCTCCCACCATGGAAAATATTCTGTGGCAAACCTCAAAAGAGGAGATTCAGAACCACTTTGAACTAAACAATGAAAGACGACTGCCGAACTAAGCGAACATAAAACATGACCGCAACCACCAAATCTACCAGTCTGGAGCAATGAAGATTCGTCGATGTTTGACCGATAACACAAAGGGGGTTGAAGAATCTTCAAACAAACAAACATAACTAAAAGATTAACCCAGAAAACAATGATAATGGATAAAAGTCGACAACGAAACAGGGAAGAAAATGAAAACAAAG